TTTTATTGTGTATTTGAAATACCTTTTTCCAGATTCAGGGTTTTATGTTAATTTAAGGGCATATCGAAATACCACCCAAATGTTATATTTTGATTTGTTATGAAAATAAGTTTGGTTTAATTTAGTTCAGTTCACAGATGCTACTTTTTAGTCAGTGTGGAAGAGTATAGCTGGGTAAAGGTCTGTGTCCACATGTTTTACCTCATCTTAATAACCTCGATCTTGAATTTGGATGCTTTTTGAATTCATGTTTGATTGGCTAAAAATATGATTTGCTCAAGTTTCTTATATAATGAAATTAGAGCCCTCCCATAGGAAGAATATTTGCTAATTTTAATTTTATGGTTATAAAATCCATTTCATAGGAAGATTATGTGCAAATTTTTACATATTAATCTAAACAAATTTGATTTGGAATTGAAGTAAATCTCATTTGGGATTTAGGATTCCAAGTTTTGTGTGTGTGTACTTACTTATTTTTAGGTATATTTGAAGGACAAAATGAGAGAGCATGTGTTTATATTGCAGGTCCTGCCCCAAAGTGTGTTTAAATTTCAGTGCCCCTAAATAATTGGCAGTTGATTAATTCATCCATAATGAGAAGTTGAAGAATGTATTTTCTAGCAATTTGTGGTCAAAGGGAATGATAAAGCTTTTGATGATTTTTTCCAACTCTCAAGCTTAATTTATGTGGTAAAATTTCATTCGGTCTCACTTTTTATATAATGTTAGTTGTCACTCAAATGTTTTATGCTCTTAGTGTACTGTTTTTTTGGAAAGAGACTGTTTTATGCTGTTAGGACTCTAATTTGAAATGGCAGATTCTCTGTATATTGCTCAATCTACATATAGATGAATCAAAACATTAGAGTTTCGTGTTATAGGGTCCATATAGTCTTGTTTATTAATAAGCTGGGGTCAGATAGTTGACCGACTGCACCATTGTTTTAAAATCTTTTTTCACTGTTCATTCATGATTAGTGCTCTAAAAATTGTTAATTGCTCTCTACAGTATTCCTTCGTTCTATCCATATAGCATTAATTGACCATTTTTACCATTATGCTTCCACATTCATAAGCCCTGCATGCTGCTTATTATTTTAAACAACAAGGATACTCTAGTGATATTATATTTATCTCAATTTTTGTTTTCTTTTGTTTTATTTGTATATGTGGGAACATCTAAATGACAAAAATAAGAAAAGAGCAATCAACATAAACATATTATGACATAAAAGTATAGCAGCTTTTCACCAACTTTTTAAAAAAAATAGGCCTAATGTCAATAAGTTATACATCAATTTAACATCGTATTAGGTAGGTGCAAATAACATTTTCGGTTGGATAGTTGGGTTCTTGGATCTTTATCTGAAGTTATTTCTATGAATAGCCTATTTTGGACATTGTTCTATTTTTCGAACATTGTCCTGTTTGGGCACTCGTTTTTGTTACTCTTCTAGATGTCAGTGTAGAGCTAGTCTTCTATTTTCTAGTGTTTGAATTTTTCACTCATCTTTTTTTCTCTTTTCTATACTTATTTACATGTTTTTTTTAAGACCTGATTCTTCTTTAATTTAGAGAGGATTCTTATGTTTTTAGCCGCTCTTCTATGCTTCATGTTTTTATTTACTTATCGACTCTAGCTGCCCTTACATCCAACCCTTGTCCTAGATGGAAGGTAAATTTTTATGTCAAATTCATAATCAAATTATATCACTTTTTGTATCATTGCATTTAAAGTTAGTAGTTTAATGATTTTCTATTTATCTGTTTTAATGGTATCAAACCCACACTGCAAGAATGAGATGAGTGCTGCAAATATAATTTTGATAAATTTGTGCAGAATAACACCTGATTTCTGTGGGTTTATCAACTCTATCATTATAGCAGATAAATAGAAACTCTAAATCTGAGTTGGGAAAGCATGCGATTTCCTCAATGTGAATGAACTTTATAACAACATTCTAGTTGGGGGGGGGGGGGGGGGGGGGGGTAAAATATAACTGTTGATTTCATGTTCTGGTTTACCTTGCGGCTAAAGTTTAGCATTTTATGGGTTTGTAATTCATTTGTCGCTATTGTTGTAAATCCTTTAATAGATAGTAGCTTGTTCTAAATCCCTTAAACAAATTTTGTTTGTTTCTTAGTTGCAGGAAACAGAGTGGCCCTGAACCATTTAGGCCTCATAATACATTTTAACTTTATAGCAAGTTAAACTATGCAATTCACTAACTAGTAAGTTAGGAACTAGCAGTGTACTAAAGAGGATATGATAGTGATGTGTTATTGTTATGATAGCTTCTTTTGTTCCGATTGATTAATGTTTTGATTTGGCCTAACTTGTTGCCTCGGTTCATTTATTGGATATAAATACAGGTTTTGACATCAAAGATGTTGGTGAAGGTGGCCAGCCTTTCATCTAGTGATGCAAACCCCTACTTATAGGTAGTTCTAAGAATCTACAATGGAGCAAACAATAAATCTGTATCACCTTTTGCTAAATTGGTATAATTTGAAGATTTGTTTCGAGAGAACAATTGGTAATATATCATGCAGTAATATTCAGTTTCTAGTTTTTTGATTTGATTTATATGTTTTCTTTGGTATGCTTATCCTATCTTGTGTAGTCGTGCTCGTATAAGGCTTCTTTTTATTGCTTTTGCCAATAGTTTGATTGCCCTACTTCACATAGGCTTCCAACATCAAGCCTTTCATGTGCATCTTGCATTTCCTATTGTTTCTCTTTGGTCTAGGAATTATACCTCACTTAGAATTTTTTAGTCAGTCTCACTGTTTGCTACCTACTATGGCAGTTGTGGAAAGGTGGATTTAGCTGTTACGATAGCCTACCATTAAGCTTTTGATATGGTATATAACTTTGATATGTTTGCTTATGCCAATGCCCTAAATTTTGCTTCTTCTTGCAGCACTCGTAGTCTCTCAAAAGCTTTTGGATCCACCTTTTTGAAATGGTTATAAGACTACAAAAGTGTTTCTGAATGCTCTCTATTGGTACATAAATCATCTTCCTTCTTACATTTCTTGGCTTCTTAGAAGCACATCGATACATTCATGGTGTGCCAATGGTTTCTTTACGCTACTCTACATCATGCTCCCTTTCCGTCATGAACACTGAAATTGCACTTCCATCAAAGAAACTGTTAATTAGGAGTGGATGTGTTCTCTTTGTTCTTGTGTTAGGTCCTTGTAAGACTTGAATTGAGAACTGATTCTTGATTCATTTGCAGTGTCAATTAATATGAGGTTGATTGATTGGTTTCAATATTGTTTTAAATCCCTTACTCTATAGTAGCTTGTTTGGTTAATTTCTTTTGCAGAAAAAGTTAACGTCCTGTTAATACTTTCAGGTAAATAAAGTTCCTCTCTTTGCAAAGAGTTTGTCATTCTCATTCTTGGGAAGGAAAGAAGTTTGTATATGAAGATTATTTTCACGTGTCTTAGTTTCAAGGATTTAGGTCATTCAACGAAGCTCTAGTAGCTTTGTATTTCACTCGATGATATGTATTTAATGAACAATCTGTAATGAAGTTTTAGTATTAGTGATTGATATGCACTTATCTATCCTATTCCACAGTTACTTTAAATCCGGTTTTCTGGTTTCATCGGAAAACCAACACAGTTTTTTTTGTTCTGGTGAAGGCTTTTAACGACGGTTATCAAGACAAACCGTCGTAGTATTGTCTCATAAAAACATATATCACGTCGCTTATCAACTAAAAACCGTCGTGGTTGAGTTTTCTAGAAACTTATTTCACGACGGTTATTTAACAAAACCGTCGTAAAAAGTCATATTTAACGTCGGTTTTAAAACCGACGTAAAATGTGTCCACTTTTAACGTCTCCTCCTTAGACGTCTCTTATAAAACCGACGTGAAATGTGCAAAATAACCGACGTGAAATGTCTCTTTTGTAGTAGTGATTTATTGAAATCCTCCAATAACCTGTACTTTTTTCTTGAAACTAGTGGCTGAATAGAATTAGTAATATCTCTGTGAAAAAGAACAAACCCTTAGTACAAAACACAACCCAAACCCACAAGAAGATAATTTGTGTGAATAAGGCCTCCTTTCAAGATAAGATGATTTAATCAACAGAACATGAAAAAAGAGCCTTACATAGATCATCATCTACAATAGACATTACTAGCAGCAGATTGAAACAAAGTAATCTGGCAGTATCCTCTGTTCAAACTAATGAGCAGTACCTGGACACCATAAAATGGAATGCATAATATTGTAACAAGATTGCTCCTCCAAGATTTTGTAGAATTAACACAGAGCTAATCCCCCCTATCTGCTCGTGGAATCCAAACCCTTACATTCCATATGGTTTTAGTGTCACTTTGATTTAAGTGAAAAGTTGGTTTATTTTTTGTTTAAGGACTATAACTAACAACTTAACAAGTATAAACATATTTATACCAATTTATTAAATATAAATAGTTTAATTAATTCATCAATTAATTACATTAAATTATACATAACAACCTAATTTTTAAATTTAATTATTTCATCAATTCATCAGGTTAGTAAGCTGACACCCTAAATCCCTATTCCCCATTGGTCCTAAGAAATGATTAAAATCACATATTCACATAAAGTCATAAATTACATAAAAAGTTAATAATGAAAACATTAATAAATTATTAATTTATTTCTTATCAGTTACGGAGGAGTGGAGGAATTACCAGGAGTGGAGTAGTGGAATCTTCGATTTGCTGATGGGAAGAAGAAAACGAGTGAAGAACCGCAGTCCCCAGCCGCAGGTCTCGCGCAATTGCTTGTCTTACTCAGTCGCTGGCTATGTGGCTGCGCCCTTCGGCCTTTCGCACTTCGTCCCCAGAATCAAATCGCAGTTGTCCTGTTCACCCCTGCCCCCCTCCCCTTGGCTTCACGCCTTCAGTCCTTCACTCCGTCTCTAGCTCCTTTTAATTTTGCTATTGGGGCAAGTGGCTAAGTAATACGGAGAAGTAGAGTAGTAGTAATACTACTACTAATTTTTTTTGGCCCTCCAACTTTTTGGGCCCTGTGCGATTGGGCTGCCTACACTCCCTCTAGGCCGGCCCTGAGCCTGCGATACCGTTCCGGATCAGAAAATAGTGGGCCAGAATCAGATTGTAAACAATGATTTTGAATCATAGGAAAACCAACTGGCTTGGCCCCAGTCAGTCCAGTTTTAGCCAGGATATCCAAAACATATTTGCGCTGGCATAAGAAAATTCCTGTAGAATTGCGTGCCACTTCCAGTCCCAAAAAATATTTTAATCGGCCCATATCTTTAATAGGAAAAGAAGATGCCAAGTAATGCTTGAAGCCAACAATCATGTCATGATTATTACCCGTGATAAGCACATCATCAACATACACCAAAACACATAATATACTATTGCCACGTCGAAGAGTAAACAAGGAGTAATCGACATGAGATTGTTGAAAACCATATTGTTTTAAAGAACCTGTCAATTTGGAAAACCAACATCTGGGAGCTTGACGCAATCCATATAGTGATCGTAAAAGACGACAAACCTGATCGGATGTAGATGCAGAATATCCCGGGGGCAAATGCATGTATACTTCCTCGCGAAGATCACCGTGCAAAAAAGCGTTATCGACATCCATTTGATGGGGCTCCCAGTGGCGAGATGCCGCCACCACTAACGGAGTACGCACGGTTACCATTTTAGCAACTGGAGCGAACGTCTCAGAATAATCAATTCCCTGCACCTGTCTATTGCCACAAACAACCAATCTCGCCTTATAACGATCTATTGTCCCATCAGATTTATATTTTATTTTATAAACCCATTTACAATAGATCGCCTTCTTACCGGGTGGCAATGGAGTAAGCGCCCACGTGCCAGTGCGTTCTAGTGCAGATATTTCGCGCTGCATAGCCTCTCTCCCACGAGGATCACATACAGCTTCTCGAAATGAACCTGGTTCCTTTGTAGCCGATATGACTGCAAGAAAGGCACAATGCTCGACCAAAAAGTGAGAATATTGTACATAATGAGATAAGGGATAAGGATTACCCGAGTTTACCAAAGAAGAGGAGCCAACGTCCGGGGGAGATGTTATTTTCACTGTATTGAGCTGAATCTCATAGTCCTGATGCCAAGCTGGAGGCCGTCGTACACGTTTCTGGGGCAGTGAAGTTATTTCTTGACCCGCAAGAGATGGGATGTTCAATCATGCATGCCACCTCATCAGTAGTGGCTCCATGTACAATGTCCATACTTCCTCCAGAATCTTGAGATCGGTCAATGCTCTCACATGTGGGTTGACTGTGTTCCAATGAGGATGGATTGGCAGCATCATGTAACTCTCCATGATCAACACGTGTGCTCTCATGTGGAGTATCCATATCATTAGGAGCCTGCCGTATAACCAAATTTTCCAGTAAAGGAGATGGCAACCGATTGATAAGGTAACCTGCCGTTAATACACACTCCCCCGAGAATTCAATGGGTAAATGTGCATGAAATCGAAGTGTTTTAGCCATATCCAAAATATGCCTATGTTTCCGTTCAACCCTCCCGTTTTGTTGAGGTGTATACACACAAGTGGTTTGAAAAATAATTCCATTATTCAAAAAGTAGCCTCTCAATTTTTGAAATTCCAAACCATTATCAGCTCTAACAACTTTCACTTGTTTATTAAACTGTCTGGTTGTCATAGCAATGAAATGTTTAAGAACGTTGAAAACTTCCCCCTTCTCACAAAGCAAATGTATCCAGACAGTGCGAGAAAAATCGTCAACTATGGTTAAAAAATAACGTGCTCCACTGGTGTCGGGTGTTCTATATGGACCCCATATATCACAGTGAATCAATTCAAATGGTTCAATTAATCTAGCAGTAATAATGCCAAATACATCACGAGTTTGTTTTCCACGCATGCATGCATCACTACACGTTTTATTCGAATAAAAAATAAATGGAGATTTATTCAAGCCACTAACTAGACGTAACACTATTTTGGAAGGATGACCCAGCCTTGAATGCCACAGATCACCTGAACGATCACCCTTGATGGAATGAGCTCGCAGCTTGTCAAGGAAGTGAAAATAGTATACTCCCCCGCACCATTTATCCACTCCAATCGGCATCCTCGTAGGTAGGTCCTGTATCACACATATATCATTATTAAAATAAACATCACATTTCAAATCATCGATTAACCGCGCTACCGAAATGAGATTACACTTCAAACCCGGCACCAATAAAACATTTTTAATTGATACCCTAGGGCTCAATCGTACTTGTCTCACACATGTTGCATGGTTAATATTTCCATCGGGTAGAGTTACGGGAATAGGTGCCAACTTCTCAACCTGGGTCAAGACTTGTGTATTTCCCGTCATGTGGTATGACGCACCGGAGTCTAGGAGCCATTCACAATCAGTGATATTCACACTTGTGAATTTATCTTGATCAGTTGACGGTCCCTTACAGTTTTCAACAAGTTTCAGAAAGCTCTTCCACTTGTCTTTGGTCAAGCCTCGTGCCATGTTCGACATCTCCTTCGTGTTGTTATGGCCAGTCGTATTCATCATCTCGGTAGTTATCAGTGCAACTTGTACTGTGATTAACGTATAGAGGATCTCAGGATCGTTAAATCACTGATACCATGTAATTTCATTCGTAACGTAATAGAGTACGTTGATATGTGAGAATCATTCATTTCATTATTTGTGTGAGGAGACCTCTATATATTACAATTATACATAACCGTATGGGTTGAACTACCACTATAGATCCTATAAAGTAGGAGGAGATTAAATACAAAATAATAAAACAAAATTATCTACAAAAGTCCCCAACTGGAGTCCACTTCTACGGCTGGATAATGCACATGCAATAATAATAATATAATAATACATCAACAAGTTATATGTAGCTTTTAGTACATATATGTGCTTGATGTAATTAAATGATGTTTTTTACTTAACACATGCTCTATTTTTGTATAATTTTCATTATAAGCTGTAAATGCGCATGATTCATGTGTAAGAAATTTAATATAAATAGTTTCTATTAGGTGTAAATATGATACATTACAATTTAAATTATATTATGAATAAATATGATATTTATTGATACGAAAGCTAAATGTTTAGTACAAATGACTTTACACGTACTACATAATGTAAGTCATGTTATTCAAAATGTAAATTGTGTGTCGTCAATTCAACATGTAAGTCTTATTACACAAAATGTAAAGTGTGTGTAAAAAATGTAAGCGTAGTGTATTTTTTTATAAAACTTACAATGAACTTTGTGGATTTCCAAATTGAATCACACGAACTACAAAAAATAAGCAGGGATGGAAGAAAAGTTGCAGACTTTAAAAAACAAATACAAATCTTAATTTTGTTTTAAATTAACAAAAGTTAATTAGCTGTGAATTGATAGAGAAAAAAACTAGATTTATTTGTGATTTAATTTGAAGGTGAAGAAGATCAAGGCCGCGGTCGGATTTATAATATTTTGATGAAGAATATGAATAAGAAGAAAAGAAGAAGAAGATGACAATTGAAGAAGATCGCAGTGAAGAAGAAGATCACAAGTTTCTAGACAAAAAATAGTCTGCTACAGGGATGTGATTTTTTTTCAATACAATATTATTTTTAATAAGCAAATTGAGAAAGTAATGTGATTAGTATATCATGCCCATGATATCACAATCTCACGGTATAATTTGCGGTAATGTCACGAGAAAATACTTAATTATGGTGACTTGTATATGTATATAAACTTTGAAATACAATAAAGAAAAGAGTAAAAAATTGATTACATTCATATATCGTAGGATTCCTATATAAAAAATAGGTGTTTTCATGAATATTACTCCGTAATAAATTATATTCAAAAAATAAAAATGTGAGTTGTTTTTAAATTTTCCAAAAAAGTGACATATTTAGTGACTAATTTTCAGTGACTCACCATCTATCAATGACTTGTGACTCTAAAATACAATATAATGACTCTTTCCAATTACTCAAACACAGTGACTAGTTATATTTTGGTCTAAAAACATAACTAATCATATTTTTGTCTGATATAACTCTATTAGTAATATACATGTCTTTTTTACGTTCTTTTGCTAGATTAGAATAACAATAAGAACATTAATTTCAACCATTACATATGTGATGTATTATTAAATCTAGGTATCCTTTGATCCTTTAAAAAACTTAGGTATAGATCAACAAAGTAGTACCGAGTGTAACATAAAAGCCTTGAGATTACAACAATAATTGAACCCCTTCACAATCAATATATGAATGTGTATTTGATTGGGGTGGAATGACATATGCTTTTTAGATGAGCGTCATGTGTCTTTCCCTCCCCACATAAGATACCATATAATCCCTTCTTCTCACACAACATGGCACACTTCAATTCAATTTGAATGTAGAATTAAAAGATAAAAATTGTGTGTTTGAAATTTTGTAGAGGAGGGAGAAGAAAGGATAATCACAAATTCACTACTTTAAAAGGAAAGTGACAAAGTTTTTGAGTCAAATAAAAATAAAAAAAATTGGTAAAATTTAATGGGACAAATGGAGTAATAGGTTCGTCTCTTCCAACATGAAATGAAATGGAGTGGTGCTAGCAGGGTCGTACCTTAAGGCTGGAGAGGTTTGAGTCTCAGTGCTCCAAAATTTGTAAATATTAGGGGTCCAAAATTTTGTATATATCATTAAAATACATATGTATTTTCTAGTTATTTATTATTTTCCCCCTTGGGTGTTTGACTTCTATCTCTAGATTTCTAGGCTCCAGATTTTATAGTTAATTCTATCTGTCTATGCTTGTTTGTATTTCCAGAAATTTTCTAACTTTATATTGATTTGCTAAATGATAATGTGATGTATAATTAATTCATCATGTGTGAATGCCAAATAGGCTAATTTGTAAATTTTTAAATACTAGTTGATTCTTGCTTGTTTTTATTTATTTAGTGTTATCAATATTGCAATTATGGAGTTCTCAGTTCACAATTAATTAAATGATTTGTATTTTATAGAGAAAATTACTAATATATAATGTTAAAGATTCCACTAAATTATGTATTCATTTATTTTTTAGTATCATGCCTCTCAAATCTTTGTTTTGATTTCAAAAGAGGAAAAGAAAATCACGTATTGAATCATTAACTCAAAGTCAGACCAAAAACATTAATGAGTACGTAGCACTTGATTCCGAATAAAAGAGTCACTTCGTAGAGCACATCTTCAAGCATGTCTCAGAAAAGGTTGAATGAACTAGCTAGCTATGATATCTACTGCCACATAATTCATTAATAACATAGATTATGCAAACTTTATTAAAACATTTGCATCTACAAATGTTCGACGAGTTGTACTTGATTAATTTTTTAATACATCCAATGGCATCTGTTATGATGTAAGACTTCAATTTTAGAATTGCATTTTTACGGTATTTAGTCATTGAATTTTAGTGAACCTATATGACAAGAAAACACTAGGTATAAGATGATAAGACCCATTTATGAAGCTCGACTCAAGGTTGAGTTTAGGTACAATCGATAGGGTCGTTGGACGACATGAGTGTTTATATTAAAAGGTTCATCCCTTCCAATTGGATCCTTTAATGTTGATGTCACATAAATATGAGAGAATGACAATCCTTCGTGTCATCATGCTCCATAATAAGCATGTTGAATTGATATACTTACTAATATTGGTTATATAACGTGCATGTCACATAATAAGTACCTTAATTATGTCAATATTAATTACATCAGCGAAGTATATTATTTGAAATTTGAAGTGGTTATAAAGGGATGAGATTGTTATTAGTCAATAACTCAACTATATACTCCCTCCGTCTCGGTCATTTCTTCCAATTTTGACTGGTATCGTAAATTTAGGTAGTGGGAAATAAATTTAGGTTATAAAAGACTACACGGTACATAATAAATTTTGTGTTGTACAGATAAAATAACCTAATGCTTCATATTGTTATCTTTAAAAGTAAAATAGTAGGATATGATGGGGAGAAAATTTTAAAAGTAAAAAAAAGGTAAAAGCTAGAATAACATAATTTATTTGTGTACCTGCCAAATTGTACACACCACATGTAGATGCCCGTTTTTATCTATGTAGAGACATTTCTTTTCCTTTTTTTAAAGTGAATGACGTTTTTCCTTAAATATTACTGAAATATAGTTAGCGGAGGAAAATGTTATTACAACTGCTATGCATAGTCACTATTACCGTACATGGTACAGGTAAACATAATCATAACCACTAAAGTCACTAGAGTAATAAGTTTAATAACTAAATCATATTTTTGTCCAGTACCTTTATTCCATTCATATATTAGTTATCAAAGTTATTAAGTGAATTGTCTATTTACAATTTGACATGTACAAAAAGATGAAAGAATAAACATATATCTTGAATAAATGAATGGACTCACCTAAAAGAAAAATGAAAAGCGAGCGAATGAATTACGTTAGTATTTTCAAAGTTTTTGGTTAAGCGCATTTATTAAGTCGTGTCTTTAAATAATGGGTGTTGAAATTTGAATAAAATGAAGGTAGATTCTACGGTACTCGTAAGGTACTATACCTTCGTCCACATAGACCAATCGGAATGTTGCAGTTGAATTATTTATATCTAAATTAAAAATGACATAATCATTTGGAACAATCAAGTGAATGGTAAGTACGATACCCCATTTTTTAAATGGGTATCGGAGTTCTCACCTAAAATGAATGATAATCACAACGGTACGAGAAGGAAAAGTTAACTACTTTATGACTTGCACAAAAGTAAAAATTTTACGGGTGAGTTAATTGTAAAGGGTTAAGAGTATATTCCATAAAATCAGGGGTTAACATTTCGGATTTCAGTTAAGATTTTTCCGTTTTTGCACAATTTTCATTAAGGATGGCCAAAAATACCCAATCAACATGGTAACAATAGGACCGGTATGGTACCGAATCGAAAAATGTGGTTCAAAACGATTTTCAATTTTTTTTTGTCTCGTACCGGATCGGTTCCAAACCATGTCATTACCGATTCTCATAGTATGAGAACCGATATTGGATTGAACCGGACCGAATTATGATTTATATAATTAATAATTTATAATTATTGTACATGTATACTATTACTCGGATTACTCCTTTGCACTTTATATACATTTATAATTATAGTTCGTTGCATGCTGCCTCCAGGGGAAGAATACCACAACTCTCCAAGCACTATGAAGATCTTTCGGGAAGATATTCATAGTGCTTGGAGAATTGTGGTCGTGAACGTTTTGTGATGTATGCTTTGTATTATTATAGTTTATATGAAATTTATTAATTATGAAAATTGATAAATTGTGTTGATTTTTGGAGAATGACTAAACTTTATTTTATCGAAATAATGACATTGTTTGTTATTGGTATGTCATGGTACCGTCTTGTTTGGAAATGAAACCTACCGAGCAGGTTAAGGTATACGAATTTTCAATAGTCACGGTCCGAGTATGGGCTCAGTAAAATATTGGACCGGACCGGACCGTGCCCACCCCTAATTTTCAATTAAGTTCTTATCGATTTTTAATTCAAATTGATTAACTTTGGAACAATGTGTTTTAAAAGATTTTTCTAAAATAAAATACAATATACTTTCTAGATAAAGTGTACAAGATCATCATTGTTTTCTTAATAAAAAGTTGGCCGATAACTCTTATCAATCTCAATATGTTTAACACCCATACAAATATCAATTGGTTTAGTGGTGGAAAAATTAAAACATTGATAAAAGATCAAAACATTATTGTTCCAACTCCATTTACAATGCATTAATTAAAAGTTATAGTTAACCATATATTCACAAATGTTTCTGATTTCACTCCGAACTCGTGTAGAATTTGATGCGATCATGTATTGCTCTATTTTGTTACGTAGAAATCGTTTAATATCTCGTTGGAATGATCTTACCAAATTCTAAAATTTGTCTTCAGGCGCTGGTTTCAAAATATCAAGGGATGGTTACACCTTAAGGCACCTTTACTTACACCCCATCCCCGCGCCCCCCCCCCAATCCTGACCGGATAGAGAGTGAAGCTCTATCCCCGGTACTTACAGAGACTCTATGTATTTTTAGCATAGTAACTATTCATGGCAGTCGACGGGATTCGAACTCAGGATCTAACCCTTTTATACTCACTCCGGCTACGCCCCAATTATATCTCCCCAATTATAAGTTTGGTGGATCCTTGCCTTCCTCTCTCTTTTTATGTGGCATTACTCGCCAGACCCATCACCATCTCGCACTACCACGCTACTACTGAGTGCGCTGAGTGAGCTTTTTGAGTTTGTCGTCGCCCGCTCTATCTCTATCTCTGCTAAGCTTCATAGCTCTCTTCTGCTACTCCGCACTGTCGACCTATCGCTATCAGCAATAATATACATCCACCTATATTTCTCTCCTGAGTTTGCAGTTGTCTCGACAATCTCCACCGGCTCGCTTGCCTGGTATCTCGAAGAAAAACCAAAACCCAGGTCAGTATTTTGGATTTTCCGCCATGAGTGTGTTCCAGATTTATTTCAATCTTGACAAACAAATGTCAGCCGTGTTTCTCTTGAATAGTAATATAATATGGTCACGTATGTTATTTAGACGGTGAGGGGTTGTGTGGAATAAGATGAGATAAGCGAAACAGTTGGGAAATTTCGAGTCTATGTATTTCAGTTTTCTCTGCTTCTTGATTTTAGTTTTTGATGATAATGATAAAACCCTGTTTTTGTTTTTTCCCTCCCGTGTAACGTGTCTGCAGAAGAATCAATTCTCTATCTGCTACTTGTCACTGTTTCGGCACCGCGGACAGAAATATCCATCGCCAGATGGTGGAGTGCCCATTACACGAACTGATCTCCATTGCTGCTCACCGTTTTTATATATCATCAGTGACGCGTATTCTCTTTGATTCTCACCGCTTGCTTCTGTTAGAATGGGTGTTGGCGTGACCTTGTTCGCTGCTCAAATCTCCAACCAGGCACCGCCTTTCCTATCAAAACTCCTCACACGCCTTCACGAACTGCCTGTGCTCGAGCTAGCGTCGATTTGCATTCACCTGACGTTGTTCCTTGTGTTCATCTCAGTGGTATCTGCCAAACAGATACGCTTGTGCTATGGCCGGATTAGGCCTGGTAAGGAGAGTTCAAATGCAGGTGCCGAACCAGTTCAGGTTTGTAGAAGAGTTGATGTTCAACTCCAGAGGGTTGAGATCAATAAAAGCTACAAATTTTCTCTCTTTTGTTGCTTCTATGTGTTGCTGCTGTGCATAGTTGTGTTGGGATATGACGGGGTGGGTTTGATAAGGGAGGCAGCACAATTGGAGAATGTTGTCAATTGGACGGTTATTCTTTTGCCTGCAACTCATAGTTTAGCTTGGTTTGTGTTGAGCTTCTCAGCAATCTACTGCAAATTCAGGGCAGCCGAGAAGTTCAACATGCTTATGAGGGTATGGTGGAGTCTATCTTTTTTCATCTCTTTGTGTACTTTGTATGTTGATGGTAAAGGTGTTGTATCAGAAGGGTCAGCGCACTTGAGCTCTCACGTGTTGGCAAATTTTGCTTCTACCCCTGCCCTTGCATTCCTGTGTTTTGTTGCAATTAGAGGTGACAGCGGTGTAAAAGTATACAGGAACCCAGATGCTGAAGAGCCATTATTGGTAGGCCAAGAAGAGCCAGAGTGTCTCAAAGTCACTCCTTACAGTTACGCTGGGTTCTTCAGTTTGGCCACTCTTTCCTGGTTAAACCCTCTCCTTTCCACTGGTGCAAAGAGACCACTTGATCTGAAAGACATCCCACTCCTTGCACAAAAAGACCGTTCCAAGACTAACTATAAATTCCTGAATTATAATTGGGAGAAGTTGAAGGCTGAAAGCCCTTCTAGACAACCTTCTTTAGCTTGGGCTATACTGAAATCGTTCTGGAGGGAGGCTGCTCTCAACGCAATTTTCGCTGCTATGAACACACTGGTTTCGTATGTGGGTCCATACTTGATTAGCTACTTTGTAGACTACTTAGCCGGAGTTGAAGCATTTCCCTATGAAGGATACATACTGACCGGAATCTTCTTTGTAGCAAAGTTGGTAGAGACCTTCACAAGCCGGCAATGGTATCTTGGGGTTGACATTTTGGGTATGCATGTTAGATCTGCTCTAACTGCAATGGTATATCGCAAAGGACTCAAGCTCTCAAGCTCTGCTAGGCAAAGCCACTCCACAGGGGAGATAGTTAATTACATGGCTGTTGATGTTCAGAGAGTAGGTGACTATTCTTGGTACCTTCATGATATATGGATGCTTCCTCTTCAAATTATCCTCGCACTTGCGATTCTATACAAGAATGTTGGAATTGCATCTGTTGCAACATTAATTGCCACTGTTGTATCTATTGTTGCAACAATCCCGTTAGCCCGCATTCAGGAGGACTATCAAGACAATTTAATGGGTGCTAAAGATGATAGAATGAGAAAGACTTCTGAATGCCTTAAGAACATGCGGATTCTCAAACTGCAAGCATGGGAAGATAGATACCGTCTCATATTGGAGGAAATGCGCAGTGTGGAATACAAGTATCTGCGCCTGGCTCTTTATACACAATCATTGGTTACTTTTATTTTTTGGAGTTCTCCTATATTTGTTTCTGCTGTCACTTTTGGGACATGCATAATGTTGGGGGGTAAGCTTACAGCAGGAAGTGTTCTTTCTGCCTTGGCCACTTTCAGAATCCTTCAGGAACCACTCCGAAATTTCCCTGACCTGGTTTCAATGATGGCTCAGACAAAAGTGTCCCTCGACCGGATAACTGGATTTCTGGTGGAGGAAGAGTTGCAGGAAGACGCAACTATTGTGCTTCCTCGTGGCACCAGTAATGTGGCAATAGAAATTAAAGACTGTGACTTTTGCTGGGATGCAACTTCAATGAAGCCAACATTGTCTGGCATACAATTAAGAGTTGATCGAGGAATGCGAGTAGCTGTCTGTGGTGTGGTGGGTTCTGGCAAGTCAAGCTTCCTTTCTTCCATCCTTGGTCAAATCCCTAAACTCACTGGTGAAGTAGGTATTTTGATTCATTATGGCATCACTTTAGTACTTCTTCGCTTTATGATATTTTTGGGACAAGGAATTTTTTAACTTTTTAATGTTTTATTATTAGGTTCGGGTTTGTGGTGCTGCAGCTTATGTCTCTCAGTCAGCATGGATACAATCTGGAACCATAGAAGATAACATTCTGTTTGGCAGCCCTGTGGATAAATTGAAGTACAAGAGTGTGATCCATGCTTGTTCTCTGGAAAGGGACTTGGAGCTTTTTTCACATGGTGACCAGACTATCATTGGTGATAGAGGCATAAACCTTAGTGGTGGTCAAAAGCAAAGGGTGCAGCTAGCCCGGGCACTCTATCAGGATGCAGATATATATTTGCTTGATGATCCCTTTAGTGCTGTTGATGCACACACTGGATCTGAATTGTTCAAGGTTCAATATATTTTTTCTTAATTGTACTTCCCATTCAGGGGAAAGATATGGACTTATACGTGACATTGTTCAATTGCAGGAGTACATAATGACAGCTCTAGCTACAAAAACTGTGGTTTTTGTGACTCATCAGGTTGAATTTTTGCCTGCAGCTGATTTAATACTGGTATGTAAGATTCTCTACTTGTACTTGCTATTATAAGATAAATTTTGTAAGGTGGGAATATCTTGTTTGGAGATCAGAAAGTTGAGGTTCCCTGTCCATCAATTAATGTTCTTTAGCAAATTTACAGCATACCTTTGATTTTGTTGTTGCTATGATTATATTTTTTTTCATTGGCATATTATACTGCCATCCAAAAGCAAGGGTGAAATGTGTCCTCGTTTTAAGCTTTTGATGTCGCAGTTCTAGTGTGGGAGTGCTCTTATACATCTTAGTCTTTCCTTAATTGGAGTGCTGGATGCCAATGTTTAGATTTTAGAGGGAATATGATACTTCTTCCATTCTTTATTAATCGATACCCTGACTTTTGAGCTATTCATACCCCTTGCAATGACTACGTTTTTCTACTAACATATATAACTAAATCAATTAGATAAACTATTATAAAAATTTTCTTAATGTAAACTACCAAAATATTAACTTTTTACAATACTAATACATCTTAAATATAATCATGACCAAAGTCGTGCATTGGCAAGTCAAACTATTGCAACTAAAAGAATGCAACTAGTATGATTTTGGCGAATCTTTTTATGTATAAGAGCATAAATAATTGGAAAGTTTTAGATAGATACGAATAGTTAGCCTATGGAGTGAGAACATATTCCCCTGAATGATAAGTGTTCCTAAGAGACATTAGGAAAAGCCAGTAGCTAGTGACCAGTGAGGCACCTATTTGAATTTTTACATTTCTGCAGGGACTTTTTAAGACAAAGTGACATGTTTTTGTCTGACTAATTTATTTTACTGATGTGTATCAAAGGAAAGGTGCTGAAGCTACGAGTTTAGAAAATGGTAGAATTATAAGTGCATCTACCATAGAGTATTAGGTGACTGTAATGACCATAGAGATTCAAACATACATCTTAAACAACGACTCACCCTCCTTCCCTTTATCAAAGAAACAGGAAGGGTTTTAAGGGAAACATATTAAATGCGTATTCTATCCATGATATGTTTTGTTTTGTGCTAATGTATGTGAAATTCCATCATTTCCAATGGAGCTAAAGACTCACCATTTTTTGGCTTGGGAGTATGATGGAATTAAGAAAAATGGCTCACTAAATTGTCTAAGCCTCTTTGTTATGAAGCAGCAGTTAGCCCATGCAATTTTCGACGTGATTTTCATCACGGGTTATCCAGAAACAGTCTCTTTGCGCTTTACTACAGGGGTAAGGCTGCGTATATCCGGCCCCCTTACCCCACTGTAGGTGGGAGCCTTTGCGGCACTGGGGTAATGTTGTTGTTTTGGTTACTTGTTATCCTCATGTATGCGAAGTATATTTGATTCTAGTAAACGTGGAAGATATTCCAACCAGAACTTGTCAAATTTTGCATGTGGAATATTTCCTTTCATTTGGGGTGGTATCAGGGCTACATTGTTGATATCCATTATTAGTTCATGTTGCTCAAATTTCTGTTAAACGATGTTAAACCAATGCTACCCCATGATTTTCATTCCAGCACAACAAGAAATGGTATAATGAAAGTGTAGTAATCATAGCGTATTCTCATTTTGACTTGCATTCACTCTCTCGTATAGGTTCTTAGGGAAGGCTGTATCATTCAGTGTGGGAAATATGATGAACTTCTTGAAGCAGGAACGGATTTCAGAAGTCTGGTTTCAGCACATAATGAAGCAATTGAAGCTATGGATTTATCTTACCATGATTGCGAAGAACCGGACGAACATCACCCTCTTGATGGCTCTATTCTGATGAGTAAAAAATGTGAGTCAATAGGAGCTAATATTGACACTCTGGGGAAAGAAGTGCAAGAGTCTACATCTGCTGCTGAAAAGAGAGCAATCAAAGAAAAAAAGAAAGCTAAACGTGCTAAGAAAAAGCAGCTCGTTCAGGAGGAGGAACGGGAGAGAGGAAGGGTTAGCATGAAAGTTTACCTGTCGTATATGGGTGCTGCATATAAGGGGTTATTGATTCCTCTCATCATAATTGCTCAAACGATGTTTCAAGTCCTTCAAATAGCTAGTAACTGGTGGATGGCTTGGGCAAATCCACAAACACCTGGCGATGAAGCTAAAACAAGTAGCGTGACTCTTATTCTTGTTTATATGGCCCTTGCCTTCGGGAGCTCGTTCTTTGTATTTGTCAGGGCTGCTCTGGTTGCTACTTTTGGTTTGGCTGCTGCACAGAAGTTGTTTGTGAACATGCTTAGAACAGTTTTCAGGGCGCCAATGTCTTTCTTCGACTCCACCCCTGCTGGGCGTATTCTGAATCGTGTATGTTCAACTGTTATGGTTTGCATGCCACGTTTTTAGCTGTACTTTACCTGTTCTTTGTTAAAAGGAAAAAATCATCTTCTCTATCCTTATGATGGGCTCTTTGTATCTTGAGTGCGGAATAATTTAAATCAAAACTTTTGGTCTGCCAGGTGTCTATTGATCAAAGTGTCATTGATCTTGATATTCCCTTCAGACTTGGAGGCTTTGCTGCAACAACAATCCAGCTGCTTGGTATAGTTGGTGTCATGACAGAAGTTACCTGGCAAATTTTGCTTCTTGTTATCCCAATGGCAGCAGCTTGCCTCTGGATGCAGGTGATTATTGATCCCATATTCCCATTCCACCATTTAGTACTCCTCACATGTATTTAGATCTATATGTTCTTTTTTAGTTCATCTCGAAATAATGCCAACATTTTAGGGATATACTCGTAAAATAAGGCAAAGCCCCCTAACCTAATTGCAGTAGAAAAGAAAAAACTTAAACCTCTTGAGGAAAACCGCTTAAGCAACATTCTTTTCCTTCCAACTAGGTTTATGGAAAGAAACATCTTATTCATTTTTCCTCAAAGCATGCCAAATACAATTACTCTAGTGTCTTGTTCAAAGTCGGGCATTTCTTCCATAAGCAAAATACAGTAATAATTTTCTGAAAAGCCAATACTAAGGGCAATCTTCCCATCCATTCTTAAAGAGCCTTCATTGTAAATGGAATTCCATAACTCAATATGCAATATTTCAAACTCGGATAATTTATTTTCCACGCACAAAGCTCAGAAAGTGAAAACTCTTAACTGTATGCAAATCGTTACAGAAATATTATATGGCTTCCTCGAGGGAATTGGTTCGCATTGTCAGCATCCAAAAATCTCCGATCATACATCTCTTTGGTGAGTCAATTGCTGGAGCCGCTACAATCAGAGGTTTTGGGCAAGAGAAAAGATTTATGAAGCGGAATCTCTACCTTCTTGATTGTTTCACACGCCCATTCTTCTGCAGTATAGCTGCTATAGAGTGGCTCTGCTTGCGCATGGAGTTGCTTTCAACATTTGTCTTTTCTTTCTGCATGGTTTTACTTGTGAGTTTTCCTGTTGGAAGTATAGATCCAAGTAAGTGTCTATCAGAAGCTAATAAATGTTTGAAGTTTTTCTTCTTAGACAACTTGGTGAACCATCATCTTTATAGACCTTCTAGAAGCATGGAGTTGTCTTTTAATATTTTATTCTGCATAAAGGCATCTGTAATCTTTAAGCAATGTACATTGTGATGGTTTGTGTATTAGTTTAAGATCTGTCCATCATGTTTGTTTTCCCGAACAAGACCTTTGAACTTAAAGCCTGGAACCCTCATCCTTAGTGAGCACCAACAAATGGTTTTATTAAATTCATTCTAGTATTTTATTATACAGAGAGTACTTGGTAATTATCTTATATTGTCTTTTCCTGATTCAGCTAAAAATTCAAGTTTTTTTCATTTGTAGGTATGGCAGGCCTTGCTGTTACCTATGGACTGAACTTGAATGCGCGCTTATCACGGTGGATACTTAGCTTTTGCAAGCTTGAAAATAAAATTATTTCTTTAGAAAGGATTCATCAATACTGTGAATTACCTAGTGAGGCTCCAGTGGTTATTGACAGTTCACGTCCGCCATTGTCTTGGCCAGAAGAAGGAACAATTGAACTCTTTGACTTAAAGGTATTCATATCAAGATTCAATTTCATCACATTGATTTACATCAAATCTGTCTTGAAAACGTGCTATTCCCGTATGTACAAAGAAATAGCACTGTAGAATGTAAACAACCAAGGTTCATTATGAACAGTTAGACATACCATATCATGCATATTTAAGGAATACCAAAGGCATGTAAAATTGTGAACCAAGACGTAAGGAAATAGTTAAAGAAAACATAACTGAGAAGTCGTGTCAATATAATTCAAGTCCTGTTACAATATGCTTTTGTGCCAAATCTGTGCATTTTATGCTTTAGAAGGAAATGTCTTATGGAGTAATAATGATTAGGCCTTATTTCTATGAATAAATACGCAACCTGAAAATTCAAACACTTCGGTTTGTTGTTACAGGTTCGTTACAAGGAGAGTCTTCCTACTGTGCTCCATGGAATATCCTGCAGATTTCCTGGCGGGAACAAAATTGGAATTGTTGGCCGAACAGGAAGTGGAAAGTCTACTTTGATTCAGGCCTTATTCCGGTTGGTTGAACCTGCTGGGGGGAGAATAACTATAGACAATATTGACATTTCAAACATTGGTTTGCACGACCTTCGCAGTCGTTTGAGTATTATACCCCAGGACCCAGCATTGTTTGAAGGGACGATTAGAGGAAACCTTGACCCGCTTGAAGAAAATACTGATGAACAAATATGGCAGGTTAATTAATGTTTTTAGTTTTCCTTGAGTACACATATTTGACAATGTTGCATTATTCAAACACTTTCAAATACTGATGTTACATTTATTTAGATTTTTAGTATTTATATAACTAAATAAATGCCATGACTGTCAACAAATATCTAAAATAAGTTCATTGTGCTGTGTTTTAGTCTGTGTTTTAATTCCCCCACATACTTTTTTTTTATTTTCCTTCAAAACAACCGAGCATTTTCCAGGGTCCAAATGTACCCTTAAGCCTCCTTTGGTTTTGTTTGAGCCTTTAACTTCTGTTAATAAATAATACACTAAAGGTTTTGCTTGAAAGCTATAAACTAGAGTAATAGTTTTGCATTTTTGAATTGGCACAGGCACTTGACAAGTCACAGCTTGGAGAAATAATCCGACAAAAAGAACAAAAACTAGATACTCCAGGTAGCTTATTATATATATATATATATATATATATATATATATATATATATATCACTTAAATTTCAAACTAATCGCTTTAAAACTTCTCTCTAACATGAGCAACTGATTTTTGTGCATGTCTCAGTGTTAGAAAATGGTGACAATTGGAGTGTAGGCCAGCGGCAGCTGGTATCTCTAGGCCGAGCTCTATTGAAACAGGCCAGGATTTTGGTGCTGGATGAAGCAACAGCATCAGTTGATTCAGCTACTGATAACCTTATCCAAAAGATTATTAGAACAGAATTCAAGGATTGCACAGTCTTGACCATTGCACACCGTATACCCACTGTAATTGATAGCGATCTTGTTTTGGTCCTCAGTGATGGTAACTTTCTTAGTTTCTTCTTCAATAAGATTAACCTTTCAAAGCATTTCTACGAAAGGAAATTGGCCTCCCTATTAAAAATCATATTATGTAGGAGTGTAGGACACATTGTTGATGGTCCCACATGGGATGTTTACCTGGTTTGAGTCTAGTATATAAACATGGAGAAGTGTGAGGTAAACATTACCTCTTAGGAATTGTTTTTGGGTGACTGGTGAGTTAGCAGTAATTCGATATGGTACAGTCTTGTACCGTTGTAGTTTGGCACCTCATACTTTGTATCAGCCCATATGGGTCTTTTTAACCCATTTGTCTATACCCTCTTCTCAATAGATGGGGGTGATCTGGCCCGGTTTCGGGCAACTATAGTCTATAGAGAAACAGAACTTTAACTGGGTGGTTCTGGGTTTAAAGTTACTCTTAAAGAACCAAAACCTGGCTGGTTGGATCCTATTGTTCAGGAACTGGATTGAGCTAGTTTTCGATAATGGCTCCAGTGCCGAACCAAAAAATGGTTCGTTTCTGGACAAAACACCGGTCTATTCTGCTTTAATTCCGGAACCATTCCTGGGGTGCTAAGTACATTGTATGTTTTATGGTTTTGAGTCTGATACAAATGTGTGAGGTAAACCTGCTGCAAGGATCCTTTTGGTATGAGTTATGTTAAGCTCAATAGTTGTCTTGAATGTCTTTTGACCATGTTCATGAAGACAAAAACTGTGAAATGTATCAGGGCGAATTGCTGAGTTTGACACCCCGTCTCAACTACTAGAGGACAAGTCGTCTATGTTTCTTAAATTGGTCTCAGAATACTCATCGCGATCAAGCAGCATGACTGATGTTTGATTGAGCCAGAAACCCCAACAATTCTGTAGAAAGGATATTTCATGGAGATCACTCGTATACTTCGTAAGACACAATGCAGTTTGGCGGCTGGAAAGGATTCGGCCACAACTTGAGGGAAGATGAAATGGGAAATGATTGTGCCATTTGTATTAGCCTTAAGGAATAAAATTTTCCATTTTCTTCATATATTTTTAACACGTTTGTAGAAACTGATAATAGAACAGAGTAGATTTTTTTAGTCAGTCAAGAGTGGAGCTTTGTAGTTTTCTTTAACCACATCCAACACTCAACATACTGTTCACTTTCCCTGTGACCCCTCATCCATGGAGTCGATAGGGGTGGGTGGCATTTAGGTATGCTGAAAGTTTGTGCACATTTATGAGTGTAAAATATCATTTCATATTACCCTCGCCCAATCTGAACATCTGGCTGCGTTTATTACATTCATCAGTTTATGTTTTTAATTTATCCTAATTTCATTCCAAATTTCCAACGGTTCCAGTTTTGTAAGAAAAATAATAAACCAACGGTCTGAATTGAGACCAAATTGTGAAAGTTATTTAATTTAATTTATATAATCAAATAATATAAATCATTACGAAATGGTAGTATATTATTTCAGTTTTAACCGTCCTGAACGTCACAAATTGAGTCGTTTTCTATTTCAGCTCTGTTTTTAATGTGTTTGGAATTTAGGGGACAATGGATTATGTTAATGACTTGTTTTTTTTGAAAGGACGTTAATGAGTTTGACTAGCAGAATAAGTTAGTGAGTTGTAAAAGATGTTTTGTAATTTAGTTGTTTGGCCTTAGAAATTAATAAAAAATGATTTTTTTTTTCAAAACGCTAAATTGTTTTTTCACTTATTCTATAACACAAATATTTTGTTTCCAAACATTATCAACTTTAACTTTTTCCGGAAGTACTTTTTATAAAACATCATCATTTTTTACTAGGCTAAAGGGTCAAATAGGTACATGAATTAACTTAAAGTGTTCAATTAGCCCCTTATATAGGAGGTTCTGCCCGACAGTCGCCAATTGGGGCGGTTCCCGGTAAAATTTTTTGATGATTTTTTTTGAGCATCTTCTTCATTAAGTCTAGTTTACTCATATCAAATTTCAGCTAAAAATTAAATAGGGAAGGCAGTCAAATGATTTTCTGAAATGTACTGCGCTGTTTAACTGCGCAGTTATCTTCAAAAAATCATTTGACTGCCTTTCTGGTTGAATTTTTAGCTGAAATTTGGTATGAGTACACTAGACTTAATGAAGAAGATGCTAAAAAAATTTCATCAAAAAAATTCACCAGGAATTTCCCCAATTGGCGACGGCCGGGCAGAACCTCCTATTAAGGGGCTAATTGAACACTTTAAGTTAGTTCATGTACCTTTTAGTCTTTTTTACTATTAAATATTTCAGTCTTGCTTTGTGTACACGGTATTGTATACGCCGATCAAATTATCTGTGCACAGACAATTTGATGGTGCTTTATGAAGAAAACCAATTTTCACATAGACAAAAAATTGTTTGTATCACGGGCAATTTAAATTGTCAAATTGTCTGCGATACAGACAATTTTTTTTTTTTGTTTATTTGAAAATCAAATTTTTTCATAAAACTCCGGTCAAATTATTGATGTACAAACATTTTAACCGGCGTGTATAAATTGCCGTGTACAAAGAGCATTTTCCTAAATATTTTATCTAAATTCACCTTTTTTTAAGTAGGACTCCTAGCAAAACGCTTCATTGTTCTTCAAGCACAAGATGCCCATCGAATATGGCCATAACTTTTTCCGCCCTCTTAATTGTTTTTTCTAGGTATACACAAAATGTGTACAGAGATTTCTTCGTACAGACAACTTGTCTGTGGGGGACAGACAAGTGTACACATTTTGTGTACACCACGCATTTTTCTAATTGGTTTCCATGTCAGCTCCGTCTCAATTCCTCCCAACGGACTCTATGATGTCGTTACGTACTTTATGCACGTTCAACACAAAAAATTATTCCCTCCGTTCCATTTAATTGTTCAATTTTTCTGTTTTTGATGTTTCTCTGTTATTGTTCAATACTATATTTGGTAACATTTATGTGACTCTAATTGATTCTTACTTCATTCCTAATTTATTAACTCATTATCAACCACATAATTCTATTTTTCTTAAAAAATCACAGCACTCTCTTCCGTCCCAATATTAGGGGGGCGAAGGTAGTATCAAATTGCAGGAAACATTGGATCTGATTGCCCTAAATTTGACAAGAAACACAATGGAATCAAAAGAGAAGGTAAATTTAAGCGGGACTTTTAAAACATTCTTTGTAAAGAAAAATCAAGAAGAAAAGTTTTATAACAAAAAAGTGAGGCTTTCTTAGTTTATAACAAAAGGTAGTGATTAAGTGAATACATTGAGAGCCTATTTGGTGATCCTATTTTTAGATTTTTTAGATTTACCTGTTAAAATTTAAATCCATGATATGAAATAGGGAAAATAGCCCCAAATAAGACTAAATTACTGTTGAAATTCTAAACTAAGAGTAGTATAATTTTATTCCCTAAATAGGACCTTTCTTCCAATTTTACCCCTCTAATTCATTTAAACCATCTCCGGCTCACAACCTCCTCATCATTTTATTCAACTGTGCGGCATCGTTGTGTGCGCAGAGAGTTGGGCTTCAACTGCGAGCGGCAGCGAGCCCTGACGAACAGCTCCGGTGAGCGCCGGCGAACAGCGGCAGTGACCGCCAGGTCTCCTCTTCCTCTCACTCATCTGTTTCTTCAGTTTTTCCCCATCTGAATCTGGTATGGGTGGTGCTGCCAAGCTCGGGGCTCTTCTTTTCTCCTCTTTTCCGTCGATCTGTATATGTGTTATATCTTTGCTTCTCCTTCTTCCTCATTTGGATTTTTTAATTGCTCTGAGAGGATTTAAACTGCCGCGGGTTACTTGGCTTCTGGGAGGATTTTAATGGCTCGAATAAACCGTTGGGTGTCACAATTGCCATTATTTTTTGAAAATGCCATCAAATTGGCATTTTTACTCTTAAAAAATTCATATTCTTTTATAAAACGCCATTAAAATGACATTCTTCATTCATGTTGGCATTCTGTTCAAAAGTTTTGCATTAGTGGTGGCGTCCATCAGATATGTAGTAGCAGCGGTCGGATCTGTGGTGACGACGGCTGGATCCGCAGGGGCGGCGGTCGGTGGTCGACAGAGGACAGATCTAGTCCGATCTAGGGAGGCGGCGGCCAGATCTACGACTGCGGTGATCAGATTTGTAGCGGTGGCTAGTTTTGAGGTTGTGGCGGTTGGCGGCGGCGATGTCCGGCGACTAGCGGTGACCGGCGAGGACCGGCGAGGACCGGCGATCGGCGGCAGTCTGGCATTCTGGTTGGCGGCAGTGTTATTTCCAGGCTTCACATGGGCGTTTTTGTCCAATTTCAAATAATAACTCCTCTTTAGGGGATTTTTAAACTTAAGTCCTATTTTGGCAATTAAAGATTGATTTACTCCTATTTAGGTAAACACCTCTATGAAATATTAAGAGTGGAGCTAAATTATGATCGGAAGTGAATGACGTAGTGTCAACATTTTCTCCGAACACGTAACTTTTGATTTCCCGCGCTGAATTGTGCAATACTCCGTAATAAGAAAAAGTAATGTTGAAGTTACTTTTCTGGTTGTATTGGTTATAATTACCGTAAATGATCATTTTAGTTATTTCGTAACCTAATTTTATAAATGTAATTTTTTCATAAATCAGCAGAATCGGCCAGTTCATCCATTTCAATGAGAGCTTCATAAATTTCATTTGAATTAGCCAATACGATCGATTTGGATATTAGCAAACATACTCGAATTATAGACTCCTAATGAAATATAGTACTTCGTAAAATTAAAAGTGTAAACGCATGACTTCAGTGACACTCACCCAATGTAATGATGGAAAATGACCACTATAAATAACGAAATTGTTGTTATGTAATAATATTGGGAGAATTATACAAATAAGACTTAAACATTTCAATTTTCCAAAATCAGGACTACATTCTGGCGTAGGACATAACTGCACATATTTTGACTATTATACCCTTACTTTATAATCAATTGCTCAACCCAGGAAGAAATTGCAACGATGACTCTTCTTCGGAGTGGACTTGGGTGAGAGCATCAACAAGCTTCCCAATCCTACGAGCTTCCAAATTGATCGCTAAATGTGGTCCTTCCCTTGGCGGCGGCCACAGTCCATAAGAAGTCTCCCGAATAGTATAGTTGTCGACCACGGTAGATGGAGTCATTTCTTTGACGAACTTGATAGAGAGCATCCACAAGCTTCGACGAGTAGATCTGTTGGGCAGCCTGACTCTACGATTTGAGTCCACCCACACATGGAGGTGGCGTCTAATCCCGGCCTGAATCGCCGATTTTCCTCCGCTTCTTCCGTGATAGGTTTGAGTTGACATTAGGATTTGTGATCGAAGATGATAATTCCATCGTATCAATCAGCGAAGTCCATGAGTTTCTGAAACAGAACGCTCCTCTATCTTTGTGGTATTACAGACCGGAACCTGGAAGCAGGAATTTAGAGATTCAATTGCAACCGAAAATTGAAATGCTTGAGTAGACAATAATTAGTCCTTGATGGCATATGCACAGACATTAAATTCCTCCACATTAAACTCCTACAACTAAAGTAAGTATAAAACTTAAAAAAGTATAACACAAATTTGAAATTTAATAGATTCAATTGCTGAAATGACGCTTTAATATATTTATGAAGCATAGAATAATACAGATCACGTGATATAAATATAAAGTTGTTAAAGGTAAAAAGTGTAGTCTTATTTTAGTGTTATTCATAGAGTTCTTTCAAAACATGATTATATGCAATGTCCTTTTTTGAACATTAAATTAGTATAACTAAAGCAAAGTAAAAGAATTAGTATAAAATTATAATACATACCCCATGAATATGATTAAAGGTGGTCAACTAAAACATGTGGAACACCAAATGTTACAGATCCATATAAAGTAAATATTTTAGTGACACATGACAAGACGATATAGTTAATGTACTAAGTAGAAAGAAGTGAGTTGTTAAGTGCAATTTGATATAGACATTGTATATAAACAAGCGAGATAGTCATTAAATACACAATAAGAAGACATTAATTATGAATATGTCTGCTACTTATATATATATATATATATATATATATATATATATATATATATATATATATATATATATATATATATATATATATGACAACCAAAAGTACATCAACTGAAACACTAAAAACCATGTCAAACTATCATAAATTTCAATGCCAACAAATCATGGCACAAAGAATAGTGACAACAAAAGTAAAAGTCTTATAAATGTTATTCTAGGAAATAAAAAATGAATCCATGGAATATTATCAAACTAAGAAATACGAGTCGAGATATAACTCTTGCAAGACTTCTTATTGTGTCCGCCTTTCTTAC